CCTGAATAGACCTTACCAGGGAGGCTTAAGAGTGTGACCCCCCTGTAATTGGAGCACACCCTCCGGTCCCCCTTTTTAAACAACTTTTCATTTTATTACGGTTTTTATTTATTTTAGTTAACTAAAATGTTTTTTCAATTTCAGTTTTTGTTATTTAGTTAGTTTTAGTTAACTATAATAGCCCTGCTCCTGACCTCAGCTGGACCCTGGTCTTTCTGTGTGTTCTGGTTTTGCTTACGGCCATGTAGGGTTTACAGCCAGCGTCCATGGTTTTCGCCACSGAGTCCACCAGGTAGCCGCTGATGCCGAAGTCGCACATCTTCACCTGGCCCTGAGTGTTGATCAGCACGTTGGAGGGCTTCACATCTGGAGAAACCGGAGCAGAGCGCACTGAATAAACTCTTCTCATTTTACTGAAACAGAACCACTTGTTTGTTTTTCTCCTGTCAGCTCGATGTGTTTTATGTTTGCAGGAGACAGAAGAATAAAAAAACCTTTCTATGTTTTCTGTTGTTTGATGACAGGTTTAAAGAAACAAACGCAGCCTGCAGGTTTCAATCCAGCAGAAAGAAAGATGCAAATTATCAGAACGTTTTGGATCATCTCCCACCGAGCTGGCTTTAATAAGCTGTGAAAGGGTTTAACAGAAGGAAGGAAGCAGCTGAATCCGTCCTGACGATGTCTCTGAGACTTTAATGGTTCCCACTCAGGCTCTTACCTCTGTGGATGACTTGCAAATTGCTGTGCAGATGCTCCAGAGCTTTTACTATCTGTAACAACAGAGAGCATTAATAAGCAAACGAGCGTTACGTAACGACTCCATGTCTTTATGTGGAGCTGAGGAAGCTCTGCTGTCAGGAACCCACCGAGACGGCGATCTTTCCCAGGATGTCCTCGGGGATGGTCCGGCCCTTCTCGATCACCTTCTTGTAGAACTTGTCGAGGGAGGTGTCCATCAGCTCCATGCAGATCCAGACGTCGCCCTGGCAACAGACGAAGAGGAGGGGGGATGGTTTGGGAAGAAGATCAGGATTAAAAATTAAAAAATAAATAAATAAATAGTGGTGAAACAAAAGCAGCCAGGAAGCTGCAGAGTCTGAGTCACAGCGAGGAAATCCTGAACATCCACTCTGCGCTGCAGGAACTTTTCAGCTCAGAGGTGTTTTAATCCAGTCCAAGTCCTGTCCCTCCTGTGTTGCTCTGACTGCACCTGAATCAAACATTTCATGTTGACCTGGATAAATCCAGTGATAAATGTGGACGTCAGAGCATAAGAATAAATTCTGTGGAAGACGGACATGCATTATGAGTGWATGCATATGCTGCATGCTACATGTTGCCATCTGCTTCTCAAACAGAATGATATATTTTGACAGCAGCTGTGCAGCAGTACACCCATCTGTTTATTAATATTGCTGGAAATTCATCTAAATAATCTTCCTTTGGTTAATTATTTTTGAAAATACGGATGTTGTGTCCGTTCCTTTTCCTGTTGGTGCAGCATGATCTTTGAAGACTGACTCTGGCACAGGTCTGGCTTGCTGCCACCCTGCGCTAATATCGTTAGCTCAGGAACWAACTCAATATAAATACTATTAATAAATAATGCTATATGGCCATATATGTATTAGCTTGGCGCTAACAATACATGGCCATATATGTATTAGCTTGGCGCTAACGATACATGGCCATATATGTATTAGCTTGGTGCTAACGATACATGGCCATATATGTATTAGCTTGGCGCTAACGATACATGGACATATACAGTATGTATTAGCTTGGCGCTAACGATACATGGCCATTTATGTATTAGCTTGGTGCTAATGATACATGGCCATATATGTATTAGCTTGGTGCTAACAATACATGGCCACATATTTATTAGCTTGGCGCTAACGATACATGGCCACAAATGTATTAGCTTGGCGCTAAAGATACATGGCCACATATGTATTAGCTTGACACTAACGATACATGGCAATATACTGTATGTATTAGCTTGATGCTAACGATACATGGCCACAAATGTATTAGCTTGGCGCTAAAGATACATGGCCACATATGTATTAGCTTGACACTAACGATACATGGCAATATACTGTATGTATTAGCTTGATGCTAACGATACATGGCCACAAATGTATTAGCTTGGCGCTAAAGATACATGGCCACATATGTATTAGCTTGACACTAACGATACATGGCAATATACTGTATGTATTAGCTTGATGCT